ACAACTGGTCTAATTCGAACGACAGATACGGTGGAAACTCTTCTCAGACCTGGCTTATTGATGCTATTAAATGCATTCGATATTGGAATACAAAATATCTCCGGTATTTTTAATGATGCGAGAGCTTTTAATGATCCCTGAAGAAATGCTTTTGTTAAGGAGATCTGTTTCGAGAAGCATTTGAATGTAACGCACGGTAAGATGATATAAAACATTGCAGATCAGAAATTAAAGATAAAAGGTAGCTTAAAAGTTTTCGAAGATAAATTTATTTTCATATATAAACAAGCTGCTCGAGGAAATAAATATTTCTCAGATCGAAGTCTGCGGAAAAACGTTACTAATTTTGACGAGTAATCTTGGCTTTTATATACACGCTCCATACTAAATTTTATATGAAATTCCCGTGAATCGCACAATTCCACTTGGACTTTTTTTTAAGTATTAATAAACGCAGGCGCACAGTTGAAAAAGCTCAGCCAGCTCCAGATGTAATTCCGAGGCCGCGCAGTTTCTTCTCTTGACAACGGTACTTTAACCTCTTAAAAGACTACAGAACAGGTACGAGCAGGAAGAACCATAGAACTTAAAGCCGGATTAGTCGCAGTTTTAACCGGGCCCTTAGCAAATTTACCGCATGTAATTAACAATGGACGTTTAAAGACACTTGCATCGGCTAGATTTTACCCGGCACGAACCACGGAATAATTTTTTCTCCGTTTCCCCTCAACGCTTTATTTGCGAGAAACCGTTGGAATTGCTGCTTCCCCGTGTTCGCGCGAGTATTTTTCAGATTCGCACGCCATCGGTCGCGCACGTGTGTGCGAGTAGCTGCTGTGATATCCCCCTATATACATATTTACATTTATTATGTACAACGCAACGCCGGAGAAACTCGTTCCGGAGAAAATAAGGTTCTCGGGCCGCTGTATCTTCCCTGAACCTGTAAATTCACTTGGCCGAGCCAGACGTTTCATTCTGTCACGCTCTATGCCCCCCAACCGTATATTTTTCAACATCGCTGCCATAATTTTCAAATAAATTCGCTCGTCCGGCCGACGTTCCGTCGCGTTCGAACATCCAGGCCCTTTTTTTCTCCCTCCCGAGAATGGAAAGTCGGACCCGACGAAATTATTCGCGCGCCGCGCTGTTTCTGTTCTTTCCTCCAGGGTTGAATAATATAGCGAACGTTGATTATGGGAAATTTCATCCAGATTGAACGGAGGTTTGCCGATGTAACTTCGTTGTTTCGTTATGGAACCTTGTGAGGTAAATGTAATTCAAACACTTTCTTTCGAATTTACGTTCATATCATTTTATCGGATGTCTATCGAATATTGTTACTCAGTTTCCTCTCATTTTCTCATTCCAATTGCAAAATAATTTTCTTGATCAGCGTGTTACACTTTTGTTGATACTAATCATCTTCCTTTCGCTGCGCAACGTTGAATTGAAGCTTGCTTGATCGTTCGATGTAAAAGGAATAATCTTATTCGCTTAACTTTTGGGTTAATAAGCTAAAGGGAAATATAAAAAGGTGAAACGAACAAATTACTATTTGCTGGCACAAAATTAAAGAATTAAACTTAAACTCAATTTCGAAATTTTGCGGCAAGCCGACGCAATTTTCCAGGAGAATATTCGAAACATATCCAAATCAATGGTCAAAATCGGCCTTTGAGTGCGAATAGGCAGAATTCCGTCAATGGTAATGGCGATAAAA